GGCAATTGCCAAAAGTCACTTGCGAAAGTCTGTACTGCAAAATTCGCATTCCCCCTATCGTGTGACTTTTGATGAATCTCTAACCTGTTTTCTGAGACAGGTGTATTTGACGGAACCAGAAAAATTTCAATTACAATATGAAACCTAACTAAGAAAAAGGCTGTTGAAATACATATAACATGATAGTATTTCCTTGCGTTTCCCAATCCTTATTTAGTACTTCCCTTTTGAAATACTTTTTTTTGACATAGACACTATGTAAACGAATACATTCCGAGGTTGTTTTATGCAAACGATGCTCAATGGCAAACATTTTTCTTTGAAAACACGTCAAAATGCAGTTTTTGCGCAACAGGATTCTAAAGTTCTCTAGTTCTGTTGTCATTCTAGCCTTTTTCACTAAATACTAGTCGCACACAAATATACTTATTAGGGTAAAAAAATCTTTAAATACTCTTTCTTTCGAATTTTGTATGAAACTAGAACTTTTGACCGTTTCTAAAATTCGATGAAGATGTTTTTACTTCAAATAAGAACTTGTTCATAGAAACAATTTCCAGATCGTCAATAATAAATACTTAGGCGTATCGAATCTAATAATGAGCATGTTCCTCATTTTGCTAACTGACCTGTGTTGATGACTGATGAGGTCGATTAATTTTTGCGGCATTGACAGCGTGTGTTCGATTGTTTTGTGATTTGGTAAAACTTTGGCTGACAATTGGTTTTGCTGATTTATCGTGGGCTGTTGCAAGGACATCTCCGGGAGAGGGGGTGTCACTTCTCATATACTCCCTCTTCCCCGCCATTCCCATCACGGCAGCCGGAGGTTTACCTTGATGATAACGCGCAGCCAAAATAGTTGACATCTATTTACACAAAGAGAAAATATGAATAATTAAAGATTTTAAGAATATAACCGGGAACAAAATGTCTTGAGGATTGACAGACTGATTGTTCGTCGGATGGATACTATTTTTGGATGGTCGGATGGTTGCATGGATAACAACACGAGATCGCATATCTCTTGATAATGAATGATGATACTTGATTGAATGATTCCTAAGAATAGAGATGGAAATTGCAATGGTGAATTACACACTTGATGAGAAATTTTACCGACAGATGGTACCGATAGCGGAGAATAACACGGAATATTGTGCGGATCTGCAAGTATAGTTAACAATTCTGGATAAGAATGATTATCCTGTGTTTTACTATGTTTATCGACTTGATCTTGATTGTAGTGTGTGATTGTGTTCGATAAGAAAATGACCTTTTGTATTTCTCTTCACTGATGCACCGTATTATATATATTGCAGACAGGAAAAAAAGAATCAGTAAATAAGTATACATGTTGTAGGTTTCTTCAGAATGAGGAGATGTATGTTATACAAAGGCTTCCTGTATGTCGATACGAAGCACTCAGAATTCACTGAATAAATTTTCTAACGAAAAAAATTGAATTAAGAAATTTGGTCAAGTTAAGTGGGCTCCAAATTCGGAGTTTCCGAGTTTCAAGTTTTTCGACAAATTATTGCTTGTAACTGTGTATTTGTTTTTCTTGAGCATCATCGGTCGACTCACCACAGTCCAGAGTATCTATCAGAGCAATTAAAAATAGATGATTATAGTTTTCAGGTAGAGTTTTTCGCTAAAACTTCGATACTCGTAAACTCCAAATTTGGAGCGCACTTAACTTGACCAAGAAATTTTTATTTTTTTCCATCTAATACAAAGTCACGAATTTCGCAGAAATAAAATTGCTGCACAAGCGAGAGTGAATTGAAAATGTCACTCATCCCACCACCCCCTTCTTTAAATCTCATTGACAATACTCAGATTTTTTTACTTTTGTATGCAACACGCAAAGAAAAATCGTAAGCCTCATATGACCTCAAATCATTGGTCTTTTAATCCTGTGTGACTTACTGTAACAGACCTTTAGGTGATAATTGAAATCATATGGTAGTATCTTTGAATAGTAAGGAGCCAAATAAGTCTATGGAATTTCTTTTTGATTTAAAACTGAAATCGAGAATAGATATTCATAAATAGTTTTCAATAGTAGGATAGAATCAACGAAACTTTCTTTCAATTGAGATATGTAAGTATTTTATTTCTCAATGCAAACATTGTGATTAAACTCAACGATGTCAAACGAGCTTGAACATTATCGTACTATGATGATATTCTTTGAAAAACACTCAAAAATCCACTGCACAGATAATTTGTTGCCGGCCATTTCGATTTCGGTTTATTTGTTGTATAAAGCAAAAAGAAAAAATAATTAAATCAAAAGGAGCACTTTCTTTTTTGGTTTCATGTTCTATGCAACACACAACTCAATCTTCGGAATAATAAATAGGTCTCTGTGTCAATAATAAAAGGTAGAATTGAATTGAAAATGAATTGAATTTGCATAAAAAAATCTACGAAATAAAATAATCCAAAAATTGTAATACATAAAATTCAGTTTGTTGATATAGAATTTTGATATAGAGTAATACAAAAAAGATTCTCACAATCTAATTTTTAGCAATTGATGGTGCTCATCTTGCATTAGTGCATGTTTCGAAGTTTGAACTAACAAAAAAAGAAAGTGTAGACCGGAAAATGTTGTCGAATATTCTGGGTGTGGGTGTGGGTGTGTCAGTTTAAACTACGATCCGGATTTCGACCTTACAGTCTCATCAGGTAGTTATGACTGTAATATAAGCATACCACGACCGGTTTCGTCCTTGCTCAAGGGACTTATCAAGTGGCTTAAGATATTTTACATTTAATTCTAATTCTAGAATCAAACCAAAATATCATCTACACAGTTGTATGCAAAGCAGCAGCACAATGTGTAGAATAATTGAAAAAACCTGTGATATAAGCATACCACGACCGGTTCTTACCTTTGTGCGAGGTTGTTTGTTTGATACTGTGTTTCGTACTTTGTTGATTGTAGATAGTTGAAGATTGTTGCGGAATAGAAGTGAACTTTGTTTAATTGGAGTGGATTTATATATATTAAGTTTTATGGATATATCTGAAATGAAGAAAAAGTATGAGAATGTTCAGATATTATAGAATGGAATTTGTTGGTGATGTTTTTTATTGTTGAATTAAGATATGAAGAAAATAAATAAATAAATATGTATAGGCAAAGAGATAGTAAAAGAATTTGGGTTGTGTGAAATAGTCAAAGAATATGGAGAATGGGTATAGTAGAGTCAACGTTGAACAGTTTCAAATTGTCGTATGCTTTGGAAGACGTTTGGATTCTATGTAAAAGAATGATTGTTTTATGAATTGAATTGGATGAGTGTATATGTTAGAAGAGCTTCACTTACTCGGTTTGAAATCATGTCGACGAAGGGAGTCATTTGGACGTTTTTTTCTTATGAATTCAGTTTTGGCTTTTGGATTGTTTCGATTTCCGACAATCAGTTGTACTCCATTTACAGTTGTATCGTAAAATGTACTGTTGTAGATTTTATGTATATCACGTTTGAGAGATATTAATCTTTTCTCATGTATAGTATGCAAAAATAGTAGTCGTTTAAGCTTTTTCTTCTTGTTTTTGTTCGTGGCAGTTGGATTTGTAGCTTGGACTTGCATTAAGTTTTCGTACTCATTGTCAGGAATTTGAGACAATGTTATATCTGAAGCCGTTAGTGTTTGTTTGTGTGTTGGTGTTGGTGCAATTTTGTTATGTATAGCATTAAATTGATTTTCATCTTGGATCATCGGTAGAATAGAAGAATATGAATCGTATAGATTGAATTGATTAAAGAATGCATGAAATTCTTTATTGATGTATGTTGATGGATAACTGGAGATTTATTAAACGAATTAAAATTCTGGATTTATACATTGTTTATTGTAGATTTATTAGCTTACCCATTATATAATAACATTAATCTTATATTGCGTCGTTCAACACCGAATGCTTCGAATGTAGAAGAATATCTTATAGCACGCAAAAGAGCAGTTCGAATAATATTTCGAAATATATGTTGAGGATGATCAGAAGTAAATGGTACCACATAAGGTTCAGCAGCTGGTTTACGATAGACACATGTTGAAAGAGTACCATTATTATTCGTAAGAAGAACATCAAGAAATGGAAGACTTTGACCAATTTTATATTCTAGTTTAATATTGGGATGATGATTATTGAGTTTTGCCAGTAATTTTTCGAGATTCTCGTTGGTATCATTCCATGTGAAAAAAATATCATCGATATATCTAGAATTATTAGAAGAAATCAATTTAAGCAAAATTTTAAAGATATCATACCGGCCATAAAGTTCATACGAATGTAAGTCTTTGCAGATTGATTCTTTTTCCCATTTCCACATAAAGATATTTGCTAAAGTTAATGTAAATGGTGATCCCATTGCACCACCAATAATCTGTTGATAGTATTTGTTACGATAGACAAAAACATTTTCTTCTATGACAATACGAGCTAATTCACGAATAGTTGCAATATCGATTCCTCTGACGTGTGATATTTTATAAGTTTGAAGAAATTCTTGAAGAATATCAAGTGATTGTTGTTGTGGTAGCATTGTATATAAATTATTAATATCAAAAGTACAAAATAAAGTAGTTGGTTTTAAATGACCATCATTAGCATATTTTTGAAGTTGTTTAATAAGGTAAGCACCATCAATAATAGTAGTTAGTTTAGCTTTGTCGTTAAATATTGGTCGAATGAATCGATCTAAAAGTCGTGAGATATTCGTTGTCGGTGAATCAATAGTATGCATAATTGGTCGTAATGGTGTACCATCCTATTTATTTTGATAGAAATATATGGCTCTTGATTGTTATTAAAAGAAAACTAGGCATTTTTTTGATTACCTTATGTGTTTTGGGATTGAAATACATATAAGCTAGTTTACATGTCTTGCCGTTGGGCAGCATTTCTTTATGTTGCCAAGCTGTAATTTTGCTCGATTTCACACGAAGATCATTGAGTAATCGAGTAACCTTGTATAACGTTGCTTCAAATGGATTTGAAGTTAATTGTTTGTAAGCTTTGGTCTTGTCTCGATATTCTTTTACTTTTTGTTCATGATCAATAGCTCGAAGAATACAAAATACACCACTTTTGTCGGTTTCACGAAGAATAAGTTTGCACTTTTTTAATTTAAGTCGAATCGATTTAACAATTTTGCATTCACGTTGTGCTCGAATTCGATCAGATATTGATAACGAAGTCATATAACGAAGATTCAGACAGTTTTGAAGACAATTTGAATATATATCATAAATCGGATTTTCTCGATTTATATGATGGTATGTATAAAGGTAATCTTTCACCTTCTTAATAATATTCTTGTGTTCTTTTTCAATGAGATGTTCTCGTTCCTTATTGGATCGAACAGCACTTTGATTCATTCTTATATAGTTCGGACCTAAAAACAAAAACAGAGAAGAAATTATCATATTAAATAGAAAATTGATTATTGAGATGAGCTACCTTTCGAAAGATAATCACGTTCCTGATCATTGAAAGGATTGAATAATAGATAGAAAACTGGTTTCGGAGATACATCTATACTTTTCTTTGCTGTTGATGAACGTTTAGGATAATTTAGTATTTTTTTTCGATAATCTGACATATCAATATAAATTTGTTGTATAGTTCGTTTTTTTCGATTATGTAGATACGTTTTGATTGAATTGAGATGATATAGATGGTTGTCATTATTTCGACATTCAAATCGTAGTTGAAGATTATGTAACTTTTCAATGTATTGTTCTTCGTATTCTTGAATCTTCTTTTCATAAGCATCAAAGTAAATATTTAACCATGTACGTTTTATTTGTTGTATGATCTTGAACTGTTGAATTTTGAATTCAATGGATGTCATATCATGAATTAAAGGTGTATAAAGACGAGATTTAATTAAATTATCTATAGAATCGAAGTTTTGAGGTAATAATTTACAAATAATTCGTTGTTCTAACATGACAAATTCTTTCATAAGTTGCATCTGTAGTTGTTGCAAATTGATTAATTCATCCACAAGTATCTTATTAAAATAGATCAAATAATTTCATAAGAATGACAGAAAATTAACAGATTTATATACATACTTGATCGTTCGATGTTAGATAGAGTGATATTTGTTGTAATGATCTTTTTTCTTCTAGAACATCTCTATATTGTTTTATTTGCTTATTTATTCTGTTTGATAAATGTTTTTTTTGTTGACGAACAAATCGCTTCAGATTATGATCGAGTATATCTAACGACGGAAGTGTTGATATCCATGATTGAGCTTGTGCATTTAATTTAGCATAGCATAGATCAAGATGAGCTTTTGTTTCATTCAAAGATTTTACGATGTATTGTTGACATAAATTAGATTCATTGGTTTTAGCTGCTCTATAAATGTTATTCTTCAGATAAAAATTGAAGAAGTATATATATATATATATATTGGATGAATGAAATTTATTCACTTACTGGCCAGACTTGTAGCTGTTGTTGTTGTAATCCAATATCTAAATATGATTGCCATAAATATCGATTAAGATCTAAAGCAAATTCTTCATCGAATAGATGTAATCGCGAACAGACAAATTTTTGTTCATTTCTTTTTTTAAGAGGATGATTTAAATGTTTTCTTAAAGCATTCATTAACGTTTGCCAGGATGCCCTTAAATACCCTGATTGTCTATATAAAAGAAAAAAAAATAAAGACATCGTTATGAACTGATTTAGAAACAAAAAATAAAGACATGCACCGATTATTCTTATTTTTATTAATATTCTTCATTTTTTTTGTTCTTTGTTGTCGTCGTTGTCTTTTCTTGTTTTTCTTTTTGGTCTTTTTCGTAGACGGTTGAAGAATTGATAATGTACTTGTTGATTTTCGAACATTATATGTCTTCTCTTTCGGTATAACATCTTTTTTACGTTTATTGGATTTTATATTTGTGGTTGCTATTGTTGTTCTATTTTCAACTAATGGTACTTCATGCTATTAACGAGAAGAAAAAAACAATAAAAGATGAATCTATCACGACCAAATATACTTACTCTCATGGATATATTTGACACTGTTGTATTCATCTGTTGTTTGTTACCACCAGTGGTGTTCGTCACTTGGTCTGTTAGGTTTGTTTGACGAGCATTTATTCGTTGGTTAATTAATTGTTCTATTTCTTCTTCACTCATTTTTTTATTACGACAACGCTTTCGAAAACGTTGATCGCTTCGGTTTCCATGGCATTTTTTCTTTCGTGTAAGTTGTTGATCACTTGTTGTATTCGCTGTATTGTCAATATTCATTTTATTTCTGAAACAAAAAGAAATTTATTTAATATAGAATTCGATTATCAGTAAGTTATTGTTTTTGTATTTAAGTGTATAAGAAAAGCTAAATAACTATTAACGATTAGAGTTCGAATGAAGACAATGAGTTTTAAATTGATTCACATATTTAATACGTTCTTTTCTATTATCAGCACGTTCTTCAAGTAGATTAACCATAATAGTAGTTAATTGTTGATCAATGGGTAACGATTTTCTTCCTACGAATATTTTGTCTAATTCTCTGTCATAGTATTGCTTGTCATAATGTTCCATTTGAGTTTCAGCTGTTTTAACATAAAGATTTAATATGTCGTTTTTGGCTTGTTCAGCTGCATTTGTTAATTGATTATTTATTTGTTGTTGAAAATCTTGATTAGTGATCGTAGTAATAAATGTTGGATGTGAGATTTGTAGTTTTGATTTAGGAGAATTATTATAATGATAGATACGTTGTTTAACTAATTGTACTTC